AAAATTCGTTAAAAATTTCAACTTGTACCAATGTAAAAGAGAATTGTTATAAAATGATGTATAGATGGTACATGACTCCAAAGAAAATTGCAAATATGAATCAAAATATGTCTAGTAAATGTTGGAAATGTAAAAAACACGAAGGCTCATTTTACCATATGTGGTGGACATGTGAAAAAGCCGCGGACTTTTGGACAAAAGTCCACAGTGAAATACAAAAGATCTTGAAGTGTTCTTTCAAGAAGGTGCCAGAAATTCTGCTCTTAGGACTTAAAATGGAAGAAGTGAACGTAAAGACTATGTTCTGGTACATGATAACAACTGCAAGAATGACTTATGCGCAATATTGGAAACTGGAGAAAGTACCAGAAATAGACGTTTGGTTACAAAAAGTTCTGTTCATGGCAGAAATGGATAAAATAACTAGAAAACTAAATAACAAAGAAGACCAAGAATTTTTTGAAGAATGGAGTTACTTTAAAATGTATTTAGAAAAAAACTGGGATGTGAAACACAATTTATTATGTCTAGAACAATACTAAGTTAACTGATGTTATCTTAAGATTTATTGATTTTATGAGACACAAGGGAGACGCATTGCGAAAAGCCGTTGGGGGAAGGGAGGGAAAATGGGATAATTAACTGGTTGAAAAATATTTTGGATTGTTTGATTATATTCAAGAAAAATAAAAATCTTTTAATAAATAAGTAAAATAAATAAATATAAATAAGAAGATGGGGTTTGGGAAGGGGAGGGACTTCAGCAAGGTAGAATGGGCACACCCTCCTCCTTCCACCACTCAAGCCTGGCAACCTTACAAAGCTGCTCCAGTGAGATGAAGGAAAGCCAGGACTGGCTGTTTGCTTTGAGGAAGCAGGAAGGAGATGCCAGGGAACGCATTAGTAGGTGCTTCGTTGAGGGACACTGTGCCAGAGTGTATTACTAAGGATTAAGATTCAGAGCTTTTGTTATGTACTGGGATTGAAACATTCCTGATTGAATCACCCCAGAGACTGGCGGAGCTTGGGGCAGAAGAACAATAGCCTGCCAGGATTCTGAAAGTAACCCATCTAGTAGTCATGTTATGTAAATAGCCTATCACTGGGAGTGGGGTGTCTTTGGGTGTGGCAACTGCATGCTATTTAACAGAGCTGAGGCTCAGGAGTCTTGTCTTGTGCTTCCTGAAATCACTAATAAAGTAGAACTGATCACTAGGCTTGCGGCCTGTTCATCCATGGAACCCACTACTTAACAGCTTAAAACAAACTCTTGCAGTTAAACCTACTCTATTGTGCTAGCTATCTTTTTTAGGTAATCGAAACAGCTATTACAATGTCGCTTTCACGGGTGAGTGTCAAGTTCAGATTTTTACTTGACTAGTGAGCTGCGGTGGCTCAAGTGGTTAAGACGCTGAACTGCAGGCTGTGGAAGGTCAGTAGTTCAGCAGTTCGAGACCCGGGTGCCGCATGACAGAGCGAGCTCCCGTCTCTAGTTCCAGCTCCTGCCAACCTAGCAGTTCGAAAGCAAGAAATTGCAAGTAGATAAATAGGTACCACTTCGGTGGGAAGGTAACAGCGTTCTGTGCACCTTGGTGTTTAGTCATGCTGGCCACATGACCATGGAAACATCTTTGGACAGCGCTGGCTCTTCGGCTTTGAAACGGAGATGAGCACCGCAACCCTAGAGTCGGATTCGACTGGCTTTCAAGCAAGGGAACCTTTACCTTTACTTTAGTGATCTCCTTGGCTGACCTTGAACCAATTGCTGTGCTTCTATGGTTCTGTGCTTCTATGGTTCTATCAAAGACTTGCCAGGGATGCTCTAGGTTGATCCTGCACTGAGCAGGGGGTTGGACTAGATCAGAGGGGTCAAATTCATATGTTACAAGGGCTGGATCTGACATAAATGTCACTTTGTCGGGCCGGGCCATGTGTGCCATAATGTAAAGGAATGCCAGGTACAGGAGATATAAACTGTATAGAGGATGCAGGCAACCTCAATTAATGATATTATTTTTTTCTCAAAATACAAATCCTCAATTAACGATATTATTTTTTTCTCAAAATACAAATACTTTCTTTTTTTAAAAAAAAAGGGCTCTAAAATATTGATATATTGCTGTAGTGCTGTCATGATAGTTCAAGCAGGTTCGCCGAATTCTCAGATAAACACCAAGGCACATGGAACGCTGTTACCTTCCCACCCAAGTGGTACCTATTTATCTACTTGCAATTTCTTGCTTTCGAACTGCTAGGTTGGCAGGAGCTGGAACTAGAGACGGGAGCTCACTCCGTCATGCAGCACCCGGGTCTCAAACTGCTTAACTACTGACCTTCCGCAGCCTGCAGTTCAGCGTCTTAACCACTTGAGCCACAGCAGCTTTACTTTAGTGGTTAAGTGCACGGACTCTAATCTGGGAGAACCGGATTTGATTCCCCACTCCTCCACTTGCACCTGCTGGATGACCTTGGGCAAGCCATTGTTCTGTCAGAGTTGTTCTTGAAAGAGCTCTCTCAGCCCCACCTACCTCACAGGGGTGTCTGTTGTGGGGAGAGGAAGGGAAAGGAGTTTGTAAGCTTCTCTGAGACTCCAAGTCAAGGGCAGGGTATAAATCCAATCTCTTCTTCTTCTTCTACAGAGAGGGCAGACATGCAGGACAAACATACCCAAACTGATTTCAATGCTTGTAGATTGACCGCCAAGAAAATCAGGAGTAAGACACATGTGTGGAAAAGGACTTTCTCTCTGTTCACCAGCTGTAATACAATTATACTAGCCTGCCTTACTGGGCTGTTGATAGGATGTTGTACACTGCTCTGTTTTAAAATAGATCATTAATGAAATAACACAGAAAACAAAACCTTTTTAAGGCTGGTGAATATGGGCCTGTTTGTCAGTCCTCAGTGGTCCTTTTTCGCACTTGGATCTCAACCCTGGTTTAATCAGAGTTCAACTTGCGACACAATGCCTTGGTTATAACAGCATCCATTTATACTGGGACAAGTGTGAGGTGAAACTAGGGTGACCTCAATGTAAGGCAGGAACAAAAAATACCCCAAGATAATTACAGGGGTGAATTCAAGTGCAGTGTAGAATGTAAGTTTGGGGACAGGGTTGAAACCAGGATTTAAGGTCTAGTGTGTGGAAACACTCAGTGAGTAACAGAAAAGGAATCGAGGAAGGCTGAATACGAAATTGCCAATCGAGTGGACCCAGCTTAAGAAACTTTGCATCCTCTCTGCAGTTTTCTGGCTGGAAATGCAATGAGGTTTCAATAAACCAAAGACTCGGCATTATTCATAATCAAATCTCTTTATTGGTTTCCCCCCTTTGCATAGCATGTTGGAGGGGATGGGGAGTGCCAGGAACGGTCAACGTAACAGAAAGGAAGAGTAACCACAACAGAAGACATAAACGAGATCAACTCTGCAGTCAACCATATAGGGCAAATAAATGAACCTGAGAATCTTAAAGGTACCTCATACAAGAAAAGGGCAGATCGTAGCCACACAAAAGACCTGCTTTGAATCTTAGCATCACGAACACCGACGTCACACTGCAGAGTTTCGCAAAATTCAAAAGCAAACAAGCACTGGCAAGTTGCACTCGACAAATCTGACAGAATGCCGTCAGCGTCCTGAGAGCGTAGCCGGTGTACATGGCACCGTGTGGAGAAACGTAAGTCAAAAGGCAGGCCCTGCCCCAAGGAGCTTCCAATCTGATTTGCAGAAGAGAGAATAGAAAAAAACATAACGAGTGAATGTGCATTTTTGGGCTTTGCTTCAATTGAGGATGAAAAGCTAAGGGATTATAGAAATTCTGGCATGGATCTCGAGCTCTGATACCATTTATTTAAAAAAGAGACATCCCTCCCCCATTTATGCATAAAATAGGGATTCCATAGTACACTCACCGCATTTTGAGCTTAGCAAATTTTTTTGCTTCTTTCCTGGAGCTGACCTACCACGGATGGATCTTCGTCACCATTCCACATTCCACTTAGCTCTGTTTTGCTAACCGCCATTTGCTAACGCACATGACTAAATGGGTACTGGAGACCAAGTTTTCCTTTCTGGCCCCAGAGGGATGTGTTGTGTGACCGATTTCTTAGACCCTCCCAATGCCTTCGCCCCTTGCACTGGTCAAAAAATTCAGCCGCAAAAAATAAATACCCCGTGATAGATTCCACAATAAACAGAGCACGTTTCGACGTATGCTTGCAGTGCAAGGGTTTCTCTGTTGATGCAACTCAGTTTGGCAACACCAGTTCCACCCTATGCATTAGCGGCATTGCAAAATACAAACCCTATATTAGGAGTTAATCATCCTTTTGGTATATTTTATTGGACTTAGATGTCTCCTGCAATGTGGTATCCACAGAGGGCCACCTCCTGAGAACAGCCTTGAATGAAAATTCTCTTTTCAGGAAAAGCCAGCAGAGGGCCAAGAAAATGCAGAAAGTTACATTCTCATTCCTACCGAACAGCACTGAGATTCCATTCAGTGACACAGATACCCGTTCATTCTCTCACACACAAACCCATATTATTATTATTTTGGCATTTTTAAAAATATGTGCATATGTGTGTGCACCTGGAAGTCATAGCGACCTCTGGTGACTGACCCCTACTGGGGGCCTCGAGGATATTCAGAGAGGTGGCTGGATAAAGCCTGCCCCCACCTCCCAACTGCTGGTATTCCAAGGAGGCCTCCCATCCAAGTCCTTGCCAGAGTCGACCCTGCTTAGCTTCCGAGATCTGATGAAATCGGGCTTGCCTGGGCTATCCAGGTTAGGGCACAAACCCATATTCATGTACAAATCCCAGGTAATTGGGCTTAGCGTCTTGAGTTAGAAGCCTTGCATTTCTGGGTCTAAAAATGTCTTAGAATTCAGGACACCCTACCTGGGCGTAAACAGTCACAAAGAAAAAGAAAAGAAAAGAAAAAGGAGCGAGACTAGACCAAAAGTAGAACTGAGACTCAGGACTCGTAAAAAAATTTAAAAACCCACAAGGCAGCTCAGTGTAACAGAGTGGCCAAGAACAGGGTGAGAGAAAAGAGCCCCAGGTTGGCAGCAAGGCCAAAGGCACCACTGTAGGTGTTGGTTTTGTCTGGAAAGTGGGTTTTGCCGGGTACGTTGCGTTCCTGATGGCCAGCGTCATTCCGAGAGATGCTGCCTCCCATGACCTGTTTCTCAGCTTCGGGCGAGGACATCAAGTTCAAATCTGGTTGCCTCTGAGAACTTGGCCGCTTGCAAGGGATCTTCTTCTTGGGATGGGAAGTGCCCACTCCACCGCCTGAAACCGGGACCTCTCTATCATGGCTGCTGGTGCCAGCGGGAGCGTTGGCAGCGGTCACAGACGGATTGCCTGAGCCAGTGACAAAAGTGTTGTTCTCCTTGGAGATCACATAGGGAACGGGAAGACTGTTGTTGGCTGGGGGAGTGCTACCACCAGCCTCAAAGTTCTCACTACCCGTGGCTCCATGCCTGCCCGCCCCTGGATGGCCAGGACTTGGGGCGTGTTCCTCAGTGGCACCGTGGGAGTGGACAATATGGCTGTTGTCTACATTGGTGCTTCCTGCAGTACCAGTTGCAGGAGAGTGAGTAGACCCGTGTCCCTCTGCAGTGAAGACAGCAGCACTGGCATGGTCACCACCAAGGACAACAGTATCTTCTGGGGACTGAATCGATGCAGTGCCGTGCTCTTCGGAAGCTATGAAATGCTCCCCAGTGCTGATGCCTTTCTCTTCCTCCTCACACTCTGCTTCATCATCGTTGGCTGTTCCCAAGACCTCTTTGGTGTTGGTCACTTCAGAGGAGGAGGAGGTGGTGGTGGTGGTGGCAGCAGTGGTGTTCCTCTTGGGGACGATGACGGGGACCAGCACAACAACACTGCCATGATTGCTGGATGAGGTGTTGCCAGCTCCCGAGTCGTTCTTGTCCAGGTTCGTGGCAGCTGAGGAGCCACCCGTTGCGACGTGTCCAGATGCCGTAGCACCTGGAGGAGGGGCAGTCTCCACCTCAGAGTAGCCAGTAAACAAGTCATCGTGGGACTCGTGCTCATCTACAGTGGTCTCATTCTCATGACCCGTCCAGTTGTCTGCAAGGATGTCATCGTGGACCACAGCTGATGTCTCATTATTCCCATGGCTCCCAGGAGATGGGGCTACACCGGGAGGGGCAGGCGCAATCCCCGCTTCGTGGCTTGTTGTGTGGCCAGATGGGGAGGTGGTGGCGGAGTCAATGCACTCTTCATCCTCAGAGAGGTCGGGAGAGTCGGCGGCAACTCTGGATTCGGTCACTATCCCGTTCACGATGCGCGTGTTGCAGAGATTGCCTTGGCAACACATGACTTCGGCCTCATCGAGCTCCTGCACTAAGGCCAGGAGAGAACTTTGGCACATGGCTTCGGATGCACAGCCCTTGAAGGTCATAATGCCCAGATCCTTATTACCTGCAGGTAGAGAAGAGGGGGAAAGATCAGTATTTATTTCAATGGCCACAAGCGGACTGGAACAACGGGCCTTCCCGGTGGTGGGGTGAAGCACCGTTCCATGAGACCCGGTCTGTTGCAAAGGACAGGAACGTCTGCAGCCCAAAGGCGTTTTTCCACCTGGAGTCTGGAAGCAGCGGAGGTGCAGAAAGGGCAGCAGCAGTGGCGGGGGAAACAATCTGAGGCTGCTTCTGCATCTGGCATTTGCTCCACATTTTATCAGCACTCGACCTGGTTCCCCCTTGCCTCAAAATTTTCATTGCATTGCCTCGGACCACTGGTATGCAGATTTACTTGCCCCGGTGGTCATTAGCCGCCTGAGCCAAGTAATTTGTGGTGAGGTGATAAGTACAGAGGGGGAAATAAAGGCGAGGGAACGGATGGAGATCAATGAAGCCCGGTCAAGTTGTCTGCTTATTGTTCCCTTGGAATTGGAAGCGGAGGAAGGAAAAGGTGCTGCTCAAAATGTCATTCAGATACCCCAGGGCAACGCTGTACTGACTGTGAAGTCACCCCTGAATGGCCATAAATCTATGCAGGGCTTTTTTTGTGGAAAAAGCCCAGCAGGAACTCATTAGCATAATAGGCCATACCCAACAGCAGGAACTCATTAGTATATTAGGCCACACCCCTGACAGCATAGCTCATTGGCATATAAGGCCGCACTCCCATGTTACCAGAAGTGTGCTTATCCAGCCACACCCACCTTTTGCTTCTTATTCTGTTTACCTTGTTTGTTGTCAAAACCCAGGGCCTTTTTTGTAGCAGGAACTCCTTTGCATGTTAGGCCACACACCCTTAATGTAGCCAATCCTAATGAGTTTGTGCTGTTGGGTGTGGCCTATTATGCTAATGAGTTCCTGCTGGGCGTGGCCAACTCAGGAGCCAGCCGGAACTCCGTTCCTGTGCGTTCCTGCCCAAAAATAGCCCTGAATCTATGCAAAAGGTACCATAAACAAGGAAAGTGGAAGTGGCATGAAGTGTAGAGGGGAGATTAGCCTCCCGAAAACCTGCGAGGAAACAGATGGGTACAGAATCAGCCCAAGGTCAGATTCAGGATTTTAGTTCCCTCCAGGCAAGAGACTGTCAATGGGACCCCCGTGCTGTCAGGGGGTAAAGAGTGCATGCCAACTGGGAAGACACTCAACAGTCTGCTGCAGGGGTCATTTCGTGGAAAAAGAGGTGCAGGAGCTCATTAGCATAACTCTTTAGCATAACTTATTTGCATATGTCACACCCCCTGACATCACCGGAAGTGTGGCAGAAGGCAACACCCACCGCTCAGGCTCCACTGGACTGTTTTGGATGGCTAGCTATGGGGAGGGAGACACGTGCAGATCTGTCCTCGCAGAGGAGGGAGAGCTTGTACCTGAATAAAACTTGGTCTTAAAGGTGCCACTGGACTGTTGTTGTTGTTTTTTGGGCGGGGGCAGCTCTGCAACTTACCTGGCTGCTTCTTGCTCTGACTGAGGGCTGCTGGGAGCAGGGGGTGGGGCTTGTTGCATGTGCCCACCCCCTGGGCTCTTTACTGCCGGAGCTCCACTTCTGTGCGGTCCTGCAGGAAATGACCCCTGGTCTGCTGCCAGATAAGTCATGTGAGCCAGCCAAGTGGGATAATTTCGGGGGAAACCTCACCATTCAGCCCTCAGTGGTTCTTCACCATGCCCATACTTCACAATGCGTCATGCTTTTAAGAAAAGTATAGCTGCCAAGCCCCCGTGGGGGCAGGAAACCCCCTGTTGCAAACTCATGTTGCTTGTGACTGCTCCGAGCAATGGCATACAGCACTATATCACTTCCAGTAAAAGCCTTCAAATGACATAGGGTAGCTCTTGGAATTGCTGGAAATTCTATGATTTTACCATAGAGTTCCTGGGGATTCCTTGACATAGTGCCACGGCTATTACTGCAGCCCCCCCAAGTCCATTCCCACAACCCTCCTACCGGTTAGTAAAGTAGAGGCCACATGGCATTCTTTCTCTGGCCAGCTTCTGAAGGTCTTCTCAGTGGTCCCCTACCAGTCTCAACAAGCTCCACCTTTTGCCATCCTTTGGACATGCTAAGAACCCCCTCCATGGAATCCGTAGCTTAATCTTCCAATGTCGCCTATGGACATGGTGTCCGGGAGTGTCTTGTGAGGGCATCTTTGTCTGGGTAGGGAGCCATGTTGTTCCACACTCACCTTTGCGGCTTTTGCCAGTCCCTTCCAGGCACATGTTGTGGATGCCGGTGCACTGGACTGTCGAGATGGTTTTGTTGGAGCATCCGGACTGGCTGCCATCGCCATCTGCACAGCTGTAGCACTCTAGGCCATTTGTTGCCTGCCTCTGCAGGTGCAAATCTGGAAGGGAGAAGTGGGTGGAGTCAAAGAAACAGCCTTGAGGCGTTTTAACTAGAGGCTGACGACAGGACTGGCTGACTGAGGGTTATCCCTCAGTTCATGCAAACTGAACATGGTAACTGGCTAGTTCTTGGACTGAAACACTTCTGACCACAGAGGAGGTATAACTAGGGGAGTACGTTTGGTATATACCGAGCTGAATGAATACCTGAAAAATACCTTATCGGCAGTAGGGGTAGTTCGTGCAAACTGAACATGGTAACAGGCTAGTTCTTGGACTGAAACACTTCTTTTTTAAAAAAAAAAAATATTTGTGTTTATTAATTTTTGACAGCATAAACACAACAGAATTAGACACAAAGAGCAATTACCGGCTCAGATTTTCCGGGCCCAGTAAACCCAAATCGGGGGGAAACAAAGAATTTTTGCACACCTCTAAGTATAACAAATATGTTACGAAATACCTCACCTGCATATGATCTCTCCCTCTATGTACTGTATAAACTATGTACATGGAAAACTAGATATTGAAAAGCGTTCTAGCTTTGAGCCTGGTTTTCCACCCGATATGCTAGTTTTGTTCATGCAGAGGATCGTTTTTATAGAGGTCCATCACCATACATTCCCCTCCCTGTAGTCTGAGGGTTCAAACAGAGTAGGGGGGGAAGAGGCGGGGGGGAAGCACATTGTCTTTCTCTAAAATGCAAACTTGTAGGCTTGTAGAGTCTCCATCTGCATTGGAGCTGTACAGGAAAAGGAGAAGCGAGATTCCAACCGAATAACACCTTAGAGACCAATGAGATTATCAGGGTATAAGCTTTTGAGGTTAAAGCTCCCAAAGCAAGCTGTCTGCAACTCACAACTCATGTCTCTGAAGAAACAGAAAGACAAGAAACTTGGTGAAAATGCTACTGGGCTCAGAGCTAGCTCTCTTACTGCAAGCCTCCTGAAACAATTTTTAGAAAGGGGAGAGAAGGTTTAATCCAGGGGTGTCGAACATGTGGCCCGGGGGCTGGATCAGGCCCCCGGAGGGCTTCCATCAGGCCCGCAGTGGAACTGGCCATCTCCTGCTTCCAGTTCTGCTGCTGCTGCTACTGCTGCATCATAGTTTGCTTCGCCAGACTCTCTTAATCTGTCAGCCATTTCATGTTTCAACCTGGGTCCTAGACTCAGAACTCTGAGCATGAGATTTCTGTGGTGAGTGTCAATAAATCAAAAGTAGGTTTGCAGCTTACAGAGCTAATGTTTTCACAGGGCTGTTTCTGTAGCAGGAACTCCTTTGCCTATTATGCGACACACCCCTAACGTAGCCAATCCTCCAAGAGCTTACAGTAGCCCCTGTAAGAAGAGCTCTGTAAGCTCTTCGAGGATTGGCTACATTAGGGGTGCGTCAACTAATATGCAAAGGAGTTCCTGCTACAGAAAGAGCCCTGGACTAAGCATGTTTTTATTTTAAGGGCGGAAAAAACCCTTAGTGTTTGTGTCCTTTATAAAGTTCATATCTCCGCTACCTGGCATTACGTTTTATGACACACATGGCCCGGTCCAACAAGGTCTCATTTATGTCAGATCCGGCCCTCATAACAAATTATTTCAACACCCCTGGTTTAATCCTTCAGTGCCCACTCAGTTTTACTTCACTACTATGTGAAACTGACTCCCCCGCTCCACTGTTATCATTGTAAAGGAGAAGCCGGGTGTTTAAAGGGTGCCTATTTTTTTCCTGACAATTGCCTTCAGTTCCTCTCCCCACGACAGACACCCTGTGAGGTAGGTGGGGCTGAGAGAGCTCTTTCGAGAACTGCCCTTGATAAAACAGCTCTGAAAGAATTTATGACTGACCCAAGGTCACACCAGCAGGTGCATGTGGAGGAGCGGGGAATCGAACCCGGTTCTCCCAGATTAGAGTCCGCGCTCTTAACCACTACGCCAAACTGTATATTGGATAGAGTGCTCTCCTGCCTCCTTCCTTTATAGGTCTTCTGCCTGTCTAGGGCACTAGAGAGCCAGTTTGGTGTAGTGGTTAAGTGCGCGGACTCTGATCTGGGAGAACCGGGTTTGATTCCCCACTCCTCCACTTGCACCTGGCTGGATGACCTTGGGCAAGCCATAGTTCTGATAAGAGCTGTTCTTGAAAAAGAGCAGTTTCTGTCAGAGCT